TTACAAACATATCAGGCCAAATTAAAATAAAATAAGTTTATGGAAATGGAAATCCTTTCCTTATCTTCAGGCAACTAATTTACAAGAAACCTTCATTAAAACAAACAAACAAGCAAAGATTCTACTTTATTATAGCACATAGAAGATGTTGCTGTGAGCACTGAAGGTTAAGACTTCAGACTATCAAGTAACTGTGGTCTGTTGCAACTGCATATCAACTCTGTATTGTTCTGTTTTGATTGTTCTCGTGTTTAAATATTGTTTGTAATCGCTGTTTCCCTGTTATTCTCCTTCAGTCTAACTTGATCCACCGTTCTTCACACGCTGTCGGTACATCCAGAGGAACCTGACTAGTTGAGAAAGTCTCGGTGTTCAGCAGCACCTGGTATGTATGGACTGGAAACCTGATCGTCACCAGGTACAAGAATAGCTCGAGTGGACCTTAAAGGTCATTCCTCTGACCTGCTGCAAACTGTCTATGAACTTCTGTCTCTGCAGAGGAAAACCTTGCTCTACTTGCATTCAGCCATAATATTTCTTTTTCTTAGCTGACAGGTTTTGATTTTAATAACTAGTTGTTTTTAACTATAAGATGCTATAATTAATTAAATAAATAAATAACAAGCACATTAATTTGGGTCAGGTTTACATAGTATTTTACTCTACATGTCTTGAAAGAAGATTACTATGACACTGTGCCAGGGTGTGGTTTGTGGCTCAGCTGCAGGGGAGGGCTGGAGCAGTGGGTTCAGGGTGCGGTGTCAGAGGAGGCTGACACACACCTGAGCTCCATCAACTGATCATGGCTCTTCTATAAAAGATGTGCCGGGACCTGAGGTGGACAAGAGTGTGTGTGCTACAAACAGGGCAGCTGGAAAGTTGCACAGTGAAAAACAGAGCAAAAAAAGCGTGTACAACTGTAAATACTGTTGGTGTCGGGTCTGTCATTTCCACAGACACACAAGACAGTGAGAGGAGAGTCTTCTTTTAGTGTAAATAAATATGGAAGTGTATTTGAGTTTATATAAATAAGATACAAGAAGTGGTCACAAGAGGTGATGCAACGGAGTAAAACCCCATGAGTGTCCTCCCTTCGCCTCTCTTCATGCACTTGTCATAGGCTGACAGGAGCAAGAAAATCAGAAGAGATTAAATCAAAGTGCAAGAGTGCTTCTTCCTATGAGGTATTAGCTTGCTGCCTTTAGGTGATAATCATCTGTCTTTCAAGAATAATATTCAAAAAACTATTATTATTTTTATTTGTTAGGGACATTTTAAATCTACATTAAACATTTGGAGTGAAGCTTGGTGGGTTGCAAAGGGGCTTGCAGGTGCATAGCAACTGCAAGCCTGGTGAAGCAGGTTAATTGGCAGGTCCTTTGTGACTTTGTGTAGAAGGGTATGAGATGATTAATTCACTGATATGGGCTGGCACTGAGATCAGATTAACTTTGCTGGCCTATGCTTTCCTTAGTAGTAGTACTAAATAAATACAATAAATAAATAAACCTTTGCCTAATAGTTATGTGTTCATCCCAAAGTCAAATAATCAAAATATCAAAATAAAAATATATTCCCTCATTTTTTATATTTTGTTACCATGCAGCCAGTCTTTTCTATCCTTCTATTTTTAGGTGGTCTTGAACAAAAGCTCACTAGAATAGTTTTTCTTTCCTCATCGGCTGCCATTTTTAGTTCAGTCCTTGCACCTGACTGTTTTCAGAGGAATCTCTGTTTTTGTATGTAAAGCACTTAACCTGTGGGATGAATCAGTGTAGTGTCTACAAATAACAGAAAATATAGCAAATAGCCAATTTTAAATTCTATCTTTAGCAATTTTTTTATTATCAGACTTGTCCCCGTTTCATGTAGTTGAATGTAAAGAAATGTCAACGATAACACAGTTTGGCAGACATAAAATAGTATACCTACAGCAACAAGGTGATTTCCAGAGAGCTATCAATGGAAAAATTGGCATATCCCGACATGGTAAGAAGTTTGTCCTTAAAAAAATCATTAGAAATTGCACAACTGGAAGGCATAAGAAAAATTGAAAGTCTAAACAATACCCATAGCAGATGAACAGTATCTGAAAGTTGTCTTCATTTGAAAATCTGAAAAAAGATGAAAAATACAGCAAAGACCTCACATGGAACCTCAGAGTTAAATCTGGTCCTTCATTTGATCCATCTACTTTTCTCTGAAGCATCATGAGAAATGCTCTGCAATACCATAAAACAGCAATTTCAGCATGAAAATAATCCCAAACACACTGTCAATGCACTAAAAGTATACCTGGATAGAAAAATACACAGTGGAACACTATCCTGAATCTCAATATTACAGAAGCACAGAATGAAACAAAAGGCAGCCGACAGAGAAGAACTGGATGTCCTTCAAGAACCCTGAAGAACTGATTTTAAAGACCACTTTAGGAAATTACAAGAAAGCTTAGCTGTGAAAGTTCAGGCACCACTGAAGAATAAAGGTGCTTGTTAGAATTGTAAAAACTCAGTTTTCATCTTATATACTGTATTCCAATGTATGTTTGCAGATATTTCAATGTTTTATTGCACTTATTTCCCATCATCCCACAGCACATTACTGTTTTCTATATAAATATGCACATGCAAATGACATTACTGAAAAAGTCTCAGTCTACTATATTCTAACATATAACACATGCACTTACAACATGCTTCATTTATTGATTAGACTATAGTTTGCTTTATTATCTAAATCTGCAGTGTAAGTACAGGTATCAAGGACATGCAATGAGCTAAAAAGTACAATATTTACCACTCGGCTACTTTATACATCACACTTCAACCACATCACATCTATTTAAGGACTTTAAGAACACGCTTTAAAAACACACACGCAAACTACACTGTTACAGTTAAAATTAAAAAGGTAAATTAGCTTCACCTCAACAACACTGTAGACTATTTATAATGACACAACAATGTAATATACAGTAAATTATGGCTTCTGTGTGTCTCTGATAACACTGACTACTAAAGCTGAATTTGAAACACTCAGGAACTTTGAGTACTAATTTGAACTTGAGTATTTCTATTATCACCTACTCCAGTGTAACTATCAATTGTAACTAATCAACAACAAATGTGCCACTTTGCTGATAAAGTGTGAAAACTGAAACCCAGCTGACTTCTTAATTAATCAATTAGTTCATGGCTTTGACTTGTATGTTTCCCAGTGTTCCTCCAGCACTTCTTATCAGTGACTTATTGACACCCCCCTTAGCTCTTCTGTGTCGCCACGTTTCTACTTTTCCACCTGCAGAGAAACACCTTACTGCTACACTTTTCAATCTCCCACTCAGCAGAGTGGCTGGCTGTGGGTGGCACAGCCAGCGTGCGAGCAGGACCCACTCTGACACAGCAGCAGTGTTAGCAGCAGCAGCAGCTGAGCTCCCAGCTCGCCCATGTGCGGCCAGTAGGAGGGGCCATGTGCTGAGGTGTTTGAGAAGGTGATGCCGTAAAAGCGGGCAGTCTGTCGCAAACCAGGTGTTTCTGCGAGGAAGAAGGTGATGTCGTAAAGTGGATGGGAGGGGTGAGGAAGAGAGGAGGTGGGGGGAGGCGGGAGAGACAGGAGGAGGAGGAGGGAGGGAGGTGACTTGCGAGCCGCTGCGTTTCAGACTCAGCGAGAGGATCATGGCGGATGGCCCCAGGTGTAAGCGCAGAAAACAGGCGAACCCGAGGAGGAGCAGCGGTAAGTCCAAACTCCGCCGTAACCGCTGCTGGTCGAGGCAGGCGGGCTGTCGATGAGCTGTCCACCTCTTCTGGGGACTTTTGGAAGTTAGTTGGAGCACATTTCAGGGAGTTTTGGTCCGTATTAGTGCGTTCATATCCCAATGTGGTGGTGTACCGTTATACCTGGCTGGCTTCTCTCTCTCCGCCTAGCGGTGCATGGGGCAAACCCGACTGAGTGAACCGTTATCTGCCTGCTAGAATTACCCGAGGAGCGCTTTTAGACTTGTTTGCATTTTCCACTTTGCTCTTTGTTTTTTCCACTTTTCTTTTTTTTTGGGTCAGTTTTGTAACGACGGCAGCACTTGGCGGCAGGTTGCGGGGCTTTCGCATAACAACGTGGCCCGCTGAGCGCAGCTTGTAGTTGAGAGTGTGAGCTTTTAGGGCGAGGTTGTTGCGGTGTTAGTTAGTTTCATGCTAACTTGCTGCTTGCTCGGCCCCCCTGACGGAGCTGGTGGTCGCTCTCTGTTGAAGATAACTTTACTTTATGGGTGTTGTTTTGATGGCCGGATGGTGGATCACGCTGTTGTGGTGGACTTATTTATTTATTTATTTATTTTTGTGCTGCTCCGGTGATGGCAAAGACATGGGATGTTTATTTCAAGTCCACTTTACCCCTCCCTGCTCCAACTGCAAGTACACATGCTGTCGTACTTAAGGTAAGCATGTATATTGTAGTTTACTCTGCAGAAGTAGGTAGGTTTCGCGAGTTTATTTTCACGCGTGCATGCATTTAGTCTCCGTTTGAACCAGCGTACCTTTATTCATTTAGCATTTTCTCCTTATTCGGCGTGCTTTTTCTCGATTCCCTCGCAGATTGCTTCAATTACACGTTTTCGACTTTTGCTTCTTTTACTGGTAAATTCGGGTTTGTTTACACGCCACAATACTGGAAATATATATTGTTTTTGCTGCTTTTTATGTATTAAAAGGAAATAATACGTAATTACCGGTTAGCTGCTTAGTGGTGTTTATACAGGATCGCGGGGATTTATCTCACATATCTCATTATGAAAACGATCTCATTCTTTTTACGAAGTAAAGAAAGTGTAAATAGAGTTTGGCTCCAAAGGACTGTCTAAATTTAACGTTATTACACCCACCTACATCCGGACTCCCTCATTGGCCAGTTCCTTACCTGTACTCTCCCCCTCTTTCGTTGCATCCACCAATAAAAAAAGTAAACCCATAAATATATATATTTTTGGGTACCGTTATGAGGCATGGTGTGTCTGTGAGCCGAGGGGCTGGAAAGCACCTTTTTCCCCCTCCTGCTGACGACACGACGGTGACTCTGCGCGTCTACACGGGAGCCATCATCATCATCACCATCATCATCATCATGTTTACCTGAACGCGGATAACGGGGCTGACCAATGGCCTATAAATAAACACAAATAACACCTGCGGCTCTCGACCGTTCACGGAACAGGATCTGCTCGCCGTTTCCTAAAAGCTCTGCGTGTCGTGAGGAGCCAGAAAAACCGCTCCAAATGTCAACTTGTGCAGGTAGACGTGATTATTTAAATATTTATTTCTGGTACTTCTCACCGTGTGCACCGTGCCAGCTTCGAATGGTTGCTCGTCTCCCCTTTTTTAAACAACCCCTCTTTATTCTGGCGGTGTTTATGTCATCGACACGTTTTTCTGACCCACTTGAACATGATCTATCCCCCTTTTATGTATTTTTTGTGGGACCGGTTGCCTCGTTTGTTCGAGTGCACCCCCACAGCTCTCCGTGTGTGTGTCTGCTCTGGAAAATGAGCGGGGCATAAGGTGGCTATTCTTCCCCTATTCCTCACCATGTGCGATAACAGTGTTGATTATGTGGCTCACCGTCAAACCTCCCGTGTCCATCCATTGTGCTGATAGTTCGTTATACAATTTCCCGAGCAGTGTGCGGAAGGGAATGGCGGTCAGTACCATTACTGCAGTGAAGGCGGGGTTGCTGCTTTTTTTCTGGACCGGAGACAGCCAGGTACGCAAGGTGATGCAACACCTATAAAGGTGTATTTTCACCGATTTTCTCGTGGCGATCTCGGCGTTTAAGCCACGGTTTCTTGATGGGAATGCTTCTTAGCTCCTCATTTCTGTACATCCTCTAAAATTTGAGGTGAAACGAGCCTGTAACGGGAAAGGAGCGCATCCCGGTCCGTGTAATGGGGCGCACAATCAAGATGGCAAAAGGTGTTGTGATTCAGTGCGCAGCGCTTTCATGTGCTGCAGGTGAAACTCATCCGCCTTCTGCCTTTCGGTTCGTTTCCACCCTTCCTCTTTACACGTGTGTGTTTTCTTTTTCGTTTCCTGTTACCTTTTGATCCAGGTGGCACACACGATGTTTGTCCTCAGCTACCTCTTCGATTTTTAAAAGAGCTGATGTACCAAATATTAGCCTGTGCTAATGTACCATGACCTCCAACCAGTCGTCGTCACCGTGATGTGGCAACCAGCTGCTGATTTAATCAACTAAAGTCCCTGAAAAGCTTCTTTCTTTGTCACGTTAAAATGCTCACCTTACCTGATATATAAATGGACCCTTTATAATTAAATAAAGCTGGATTACTTCCTCATCCTTGGTCTTGCAGGTGATAACTCAGGTTGCTTAGGTAATTTTAGCTAGATTTCACCTTTTAGATTTTACTCATTAAGGAGGATGACATCTTAATTAGGTATATGCTGATTCATTTTGTGATTAAATGTTTGTATATTTTCCCTATAAATTATCACATATTTACCAAAGATGCTTATTATAATTTCATTAATCCCCAGATAACATTTTCAAGTTGCTGACTTTGTAGAATTGCAGTGGTTTATGTTTTTTTTTTATGTTGTGTACATATCAGACATATATGTGGCCTTCTACAGTTATTGCATCAGGTAAGAATGAAAACAGAAGCACGTTTTTGATCGGTCAAATATGTATGTATAGGTTTTTGAGGAAGCAAGGAGATGATACACCTGTCAGATTCTGTCTGTTATGAATGTCCATTAGATGTCACTTACATCATCAGCTGTATTTATTTGATCGATTGGGTTCTGATTGCTTTATTAAGTCCCGGTCTACTTTATGTTTGGGAAGACAAGTAGATTTTTAGCATCCGTGCAACTGCTTTGTTATCACTTAGTCTGATTCTAGTGCAGAATCAGAGTAGGACAGAGCATTGTGTGTGACTCAGGTGTACCAAAGCTCCACTGCCACAAGTTTGATGTCTCTGTTTTGCAATAAACTGCCAGAAAAGCAGTAAGCTGTAAGTTTGTGTGTGTTTCTGACGCATTAAAAAATTTGCTACAGCTTTCCAATCCCATCACTAGCTTGTTAATTTTTTTTTAAACGCTGTAGATCAGCAAATGCTTAAAAAATAATAACAATCTGTCAATTTTTGGTAAAGCACACAGTCTCTATACTACTGCAGCCCTATTGCTGTGCTCCACAAACAGTAGAGAGAGAACCTAGATTAAGCTTAAAAAGCAATAGCAGTCATTTCAGATGCTGGAAATAGAGGCTGTTTACTTTTTTATTAATAATATTACCTAATCAACTAAAAGAATATGAGAATGGTTCTTCAATTAATCTTCTGTCAGTAGAACAATCAGGTAATTGTTTATAGCTCTGCTCCTAACAACTCACATTTGCCTGGGTCCAGTCTGCCTTGTTCCCTTTAATTAAGTTTTTATAATGAATCATAGCACATTTTACAGTTACACGTTAGAAGAATGACTGAAATCACTGATAGCTGTATTGTACATTATTAGCCTAATATCTGCTTTGTTTATGTTCTAAGGACCCATTTATGACTTCATTTGTCTTCCTCTTGCTCGAAATCTCCAGTTTGATTTTTTGCATTTCTTTACTTTGGACAATTAGGTTTTACTGAACCAGAGCGCTTAACAAAAACATTAGCAGATCGTTATCAGATGGAGCAGGTAATCTGTCACTGATAGAAGTCAAGTTGGCGATGATAGCGATCTGCTTCCAGACCTTGTAATTTAAGCTAATCATTGACTGTGGTCTTTGCTGCAGTGCCTCCTCTGGAGCTAGTTAGGAACCAAAAGATAAAAAAACTACATAATTTGATTTGTCTTTGACTCATATTATTTATGTATGAGCAGCACAGAATGTCAGGTTTAACATCTTCACGTCTGGTTTTTGTCATTTTCTGGAGTTGTGCCTTTATCCATTAATAACAAGCCACATGGCAGTTTTCTTGAAAGAGCACTGGGTCTCATTTCCACTTGTCTCTGTGCTGTGATATTGTGCCACCCAACTTCAAATAGCATTGTTCTCGCCTATCTAAACAAACTAAACCCAACCTGTCTGGTTTTAATGATAGCTGGCAGAGAGCTTGCCTTCCTCTGGCTCTCAACATAAATGATTTTCCTGTGAACATGTCGATGCAAAAGCCAAGCAAAGACCTCCAGTAACCCTCATTTTTTTCCAAGATGAAGTTAATCTGTACATTTAGTGCACATAAAACAAATATACTATTTTTGAAGTATATAATACAGATGTCTGGCAGGAAAAAGAGCTCAAGCTAAAGTGTGAAGTTGTTTTTGCCATGCTAACTGTCTGCAGTACAACTGTAAATGGCAGGTGTGTGCCCTCCATGTGCCCTGCCTGTTGCTGCCGCTGCTTTGGTCACGGCTTCATCATCCAGTGCCTTTAAAGTGCTGCACTCTCAGCTGGGCTGTAATCTAACACTGCAATTTAGGGACTACAGGAATGCAGCCTGGTGTTAACATACCTTGACAGGATAAACACAGCGGCCTACTCCCAGGCTTGGATACTCATACTGTACGTAAAAGCAAGCCAGGACTCTGCCGTCACCACCGTCTGTACTCTGGAAGTGAGAGTTGTTCTCGGAGTGATTGCTGATGGGGTTGTTTTTGTTTAGGTTGCCATTTTGATTTCAGCTGTACCTCTAGAATTGATGTTGTGCTAATGCAAATATTCTTAGTCATAATCAATATTTAACTGGCAGATGTGCATTTGGAGAAATGACATGCAGCATTGCCAGTAGAATCAATGCTGCTGCAGTGACAGACAGCTTTCAGTGACTCTTCTCAGTGACTGCTCTTTAATATCAGGTCAACAAAACAGACATTTCTTGGTGTGAATCAGTGAATGCTGGGCCTCTTTGATCAGGCTGCTGTTGTTTGATGTGTGGATGAATGGCATTTTCCTTCTCCCTCGTATTTATGTGCACTCCTCTCTAGTTGCCGTATTGCACTGTTAATGTCTTGCATGTTGTGCCACCAAGCTTCGCCTGATTGTGAAAGGACCATAGCTGCTATTTAATTGAGCTTATTATCTGAAATCACTGCTTGATATTTCACTGTGCAGGACTGTATTTTTGGTGCAAAGCAACACAGAAAAGCTGCACACATACTTTCGTTACGGGAAGATGGGTTGCATATAAAAGTGGCAGCCTGTTTAATAGGTCTCTTTTATCTTTATGTCTGAACTATATTCTTGAGGTCACCCTCAGGTGCTCCAGTTGCAGCTGTCTTTCACACAGTCCCACAGAGTCATGTGAGGCCTCAGAGGTAATGCTGAACATTTATTTGCAAGCTAACACTGGCTGTTCCACTCATTAGATTAGCTGGGTATCAAATGATTGACGTTATAATGGCTTATAATTGCATTTAGCAAATGGAATTACACAAAATCCAAGTTGTTTCTGTAATGCAACCCTGTATTTTTATCTGCACATGCTCTAGCCAATGCAGTTGTTGCATGTAAGGCTATTATTTTTAATATTACTTGAGTGTTATGTGAACACTTACTCGCACAGCCGCCTCTGCTGTTTGTGAGGGAGATGAGCGCTTCAGAGGGAAGTGGTCTGACTGGTATTAGAAGTGGTTGTGGTCAACATTAGCTGTTAATTGATCTATGGCCAGTGATCATTGAAGTTACTTTCTCCTTGTGCTAAAAAGCCTGAAGCTGTGTGTGTGTGTGTGTGTGTGTTTCCTTTGCACAAATGGGGCTATGGAATGACAAAGCACTACAGGATGTCTTTAGCCGCTCAGCTTTAGCCCCTCCCTATCGCTTTTTATGGTCCAGAGGGGGAGGTGCATCAGGGCTAACTGATGCTGCTGCTGTGACTAATTGAGCTCTGTGTGTGTGTGCATTGTGTATTGTGGGGATGTTAGCATCAAGGTGGGAAGCTGCTACTTTCCTCCAGGCTTTGCATGACAACACAGACTTGCTTGTTTGGATTTACATGCATTAACAAAGTGCCTGTGAGGGAACATCAGCGGTTCCCGCTGAATGCTGTTGCTTCAATTAGATGACGTGTGCTGATAAAGGCACCTTGACAGATCAGGCACGGAAAGTGAAGGCAGCCGACTCATTGTGGCCTAATCGAGGCGTGTGCATTAGATTTGAATGGCTGTTTAAGCTTTTAAGCTTTCTGAATTGTACAGTGTTTCTGTAGTGCTAGCTTTAAATCAGATAAAAGAGTCAGACAGTTCATTAGGTTGAAGTTTGTATGGTGTATCTGTTGGTAACA